GGTCTCTGATGGAATAGTTTCTGCAGTTATTTCTTGGATGCAATGTCAAGGATAAATATTAATAGGTCTTCTAAAAATATAATAATTTGCCCTACAAAAAAACACTTCCAAGAGTATAAAATCCTTCCCATCATCTTACATATACCAGATCATGCACAATAATGATTCCCTGTATAACGACTGTATTAAATTGCATCTCAAATTCAGCGAAAATTCATTTAGTGTTTTTCACTTACAGGCATCAAAGGAAAATGAGTTAAGACAGTCCCACTACTGGCTGTGACAGAAACATTTGTCTTCCAATGTCTGTAAATAACAGAAAAGGAAATAAGGATTGATTGATTGATAAAAATTTGACTGGAAAAGAGGTTAGCCTTTTGTTAGTATGAAGAAACTACTGTCACAGATCTAGTCGGAATAATGCACTGCACTGGCAGAGAAGGGTTTCCACACAGCCCAAGGATGAAATCAACAGTCACAAAACTCAGGTTCTGAGTTCTGAAGCTTTTGACAGCTAGTTTCTGATTCTAAAAGGAGTAGCATAAGGTCTTTTATTAAGAGGCAAAATAAWGCCTCTTAAAGATTCATTTGGCAACTAATATGCTCTATTTCCAATACCCTGAGAACAACAGCATGTGAGTTAATTTAAACATGTGGAAAGAACATTTAATTTTATCAGAAGGAAACAATGAAGAATCTAATTTATTCTCCACATGTGTGCATAACCCCCATTGATATTAATAAGAGTTAAGTAGCCTATGGAGAAGAAAATAGGGCTCCAGATGTGGCAAAATGCTTTAAAAAACTTATGTGCAGCTTTTTAATGACAACAAAAAATATTTCTTTTTCAAGATTGGTGTAGAGAGAAAAACAGATTCATATCCAGTCAGTGATTAAATGTTTCTGACTTTCCCAAGGCTATGGCAGTGGTACACACACRCTCACGAATGTGTTCATGGATGGTGTCTCACAGACACATAAGCCCATTCTTTTCATTTACTGCCTTTTTCCAACCAGGCTGATCTATGGCACAGGATTGTTTGAACTTCCAGTGCTCTTCCTACTCCCTTCTCTTCCCAGCTAGGAGTAAAAGAAGGGAAATTTTGCTGAATTTTTTTTTAAGGTTAGTGTTTAAAGTGTTGCCAGAGGTAGTCAACAGGGCCAATAAAAGCTGGTGAACAACCTTCTTTGCCCTATGCCATATTTGACCAGAATTCTATAAACTTGGGTGAGTGTGGAGGATTAGTCTTGATTAGCCACTGACAAATTTCCTCAGTTTCCCATTGGCACGCCTGAAATGGCATGTGCTATGACTTAATCCTTAACATTTGTAGCAGTCACTTCCATTTCTTTTTCAGGATGGACTGTGATATAAGAGGTTGGTGTTYAGCAAGTCATCCCATCTAATTATTCATTCTTCTGAGGCATTTTATTTTGAAGACATAAAATACTTTGCTGTTTCTATGGTAGAGCTCTTTCTCCTATTTTTCTGAACTTTATGAGAACACAGTGATCCTTATGCTTTTGTCCAAACCAACCATGGCTAAATGGGACTTCTGCAGACCCTGAAAGGGCTGTCCTTTTATTGGTGTTCACAGCAGAATTTTAACTGAATGTCATTCAACTTTCTTTTCATGGCATTCCCTGGGGAACTGCCTGGGCCTTGAAATCCTGCACTGCATGTTCTCTGTATCCAAGAACTTGCAAACTTGAACCAAATCATCCTCAGTGCTTTTAYAGCCCCCATTCTGCCCAGCTAAGCTTCTGACATTTTAATGTTATTTGCACACAGACTCTTATTTATGGCTCYTTTACATAGCTTTCCTCCAATTTTATCTTTAATTTATGGTGCAATTTTAGAATCATAGCATTTGCAGCACTTGCCTCCGATAAAATTCCCTAGAATTTGCATTTCACATAATGTTTCTGCGTGCTTCAAAATGTCAGAATAATAAYGACAGCAGGACTTCTGAGGTTTTGTTTCCTTTTTACATCTATGGAATGAAAGGCAGGTTGGGTACAGGCACCTCTGTTTACTTTCCTTTTGAATCACAGACAATAGGATCTTCAGTCACTGCTAAAAGCTCGTTTGTACTCTGAATGGTTTCCTGTCCACTTAGGCTGATTTTATAWCACACAAAAAATGACTGTTCAATATTCAGTTAATTATGCTCCAAATGGAGTAAGCCAAAGAATTAGCTTAATCAAGCATTCTTTTTTCCTTAGGAAAAAAAACCCAAACAAACCAATCCAACCAGAAAAAAAAAAACAAAAAAACCCAGAAAGAGATAAGAGCTATGACAGGTATTGCAGATAGGCTCCTGGCTTGACCATCAGGAGACATTCATTCCCTTCTTGGTGTGGCTGTTGACCTCTGAAGCTGATTTTAAACTGGAGATTTCATTTTGTTTTAATTTACTTTGTCAGTTTTTTCCACTGTCAGTCTTAGATAGTTACTCAGCAAATTTCTACTTACRGTACAGGCCWTATATACAYATATATACATGTATATATATACACACACACATATATATCTCAAAATATTTATGGTATAAATATACATTTCACAAGCTTTTCATTAAAATGTTTCTTCAGTTGTGCTTTTTTTCAGGTATAGACTATACAAATATATATATAAATAAAAAAAAAATATATATATATATATATATATATATATATATATATATATATATATATAACTACTTATGGAATAGAAATATTATTTACTCCCTATTCATCCAAATGTTTCCTCAGCTGAGCTTTTGTCTTTGAAGTCCAAATATGTGCCACCCTACCATCCTGCTCAGACCACAAATAACAGGTTTAGAAATACAGAAATATTGCACTGGGACGAAGGCCTGGCATTCCCTTCAAGGTCAGGGTTGTCACATACTTAAATAGACCTGAGTCAGGAAATTAAATAGACCTGAGTTAGGGGCCAACAGCTCAAATTGTGACAGTTCTGTMCCTATTGCTCACTGTCTCTATTCATCTATACTACTCTATAATCTGCAGACAAGATAATTTTGTCCAGTTCTGAATGAGAGACAAACCTGATCTCCTTTCCCTTATATATATTTGGTCTGGAGGCTTGAAACTACAGCAGAGGATCTCAGGCAGAAGATAAATGATTGGGGAAAATTAACTAAAGAAGCAGGGTAATCCATGAGGCCATGTCTTAGAATGGAGTTGAATTTACTAAAATCTAGGTTTAGGATAATGGTTYAATACCTAAGATCTGCAGAATGTGCCGGATACTTACCCTTCTCTCACAAACCCCTTAGAGCTCAAAATCCCATTTCTAACCTTCTTCATGACTGAGAAATTAGAATAGGTCTGTTGGTAAATCTGTGGTTACCTTGTGGCTGCCATTGGTGGAATGGTACTAAGCAGGTGTATGGGGGTTTCATTGCTTGAAAGGATGTATTTKCATTTATAAATGCAACAAAACCTCTCATTTTTTGACAAGGAATATTTGCCACTCCTGGTTTATTTCCTCCTCCCTCCACTGCATAAAAATATGTATTGACACTACCTTGTGGAGTTATTGATGCACTATAGTGTTCAAAGCACAGTAATTTTTATGATATGTGGTAGCTTAAAGGAAAAAGCAGTATCCAGSAGGGAAATGAAGGGTGAAACACCAGCCTCTTTGAAGTCAGTGAGAAAAAACTATTACTGCCTTCAGTAGAGGCAAGGTTTCCGTCCAAGCATTCAGGGAGAAACATGGAGCTATGTATTGATTTTATCTCTTAGGCAAAACTGTAGAGAAGAAAAGAGAAATGCATTCATCTGGAATCTAGGATGGTTAATGTCAGCAGGCCTTTAGGAAATTGTGTTACATAGATGAATGGTATGTTGGTCCAATCAAACATCCAAAATCCCTACATTTGACCTCCAAGTCTATAAAAGAAGAATAAAGAACCCAACTGCAAAACRATTACAGCCTGTAAGACTTCTGTTTGGATATGTAATACAGAGCATCCAAATTTGAACATATTTAAGAATAAACTACCAAGTTTGAGGCTTCCCCAGCCTATATCAGTAAATTGCAAAGCATGTGGAATTACATTTAGACAATATTTTATAAAGGAACAGTAAACATTTATAAATAAAAAACGTATTAATTGGGGATTCTCCTCTAGTAGCTGCCCCTCTTTAATTTAAGATATTTGTAGCTAATTAAGAGAATATGGTAATACAGTTAAACTGGGAAAGTATTGAGATAAATAATTCATGAACATCTGAAGTAAATAACTTCTAAATAGATACTTTGACTAATTTACTTTTGACAAATAAATGAGCAAAGCTTTGTTTTTGCACTAGTCTGAGGAACACAATTTTCAGTTCTGTAGCTGAAATAGAACTTATTTTGGATGACTGCTGGTTTAATTTCTTAATTTCTTAACAACTTAGATAACAAAACACAGCTCTACCACTATCTGTGAATTTCAAGTCTCTGAACAYATTTTTGCATTGAGCAGTTCTCAGCCAAAATTTGTCAGCACCAAGAAACACTGAGAATGCTGAAATAGCGAATAAATTTATTAATTAAAACTTAGTAGATTGCATATAATTCACATACAAGGCAAAAATTGACAGGAGAATTAAGGCACCTCTGATCTGAACCCCACTCTTTCTTCCTTCTTAATGAAAGAGTAAAAGCTGAGGCTTTGATATCACTGCTTTGTCATGGTAATTGAGAAGCTGTGAATTCAACATGATGATTTTACTGCAGGTTGAAGAAAGAAGAGATGTTGAACTACGAGGAAAAGAATTTATTTAAATGTCAGTCTAGATAAAAGGCCGAAGGTTAGTAAAAGCTACACGTTGCAGACCATGGAGTTTCTTTTTAAGCATGATGCACTTCAAACAATTCTACATGAAAATCTCAGTTTTGCCCATTAGGCCCATATTTCATATTGAGTTTGTTAATATATAGTAACATAAGAATTAGAATACTCACTAAAGGAGACTGATTATTATTGTTAAGGGCATCAAAATTATTTCTATTCTTGGGRTTTTTCACCTCTTCACCTACATCAAATTATGTGGTAGTGCAATTGCTTCCAATAATTATAAAGAGAGGMTGAGAGTAGCTCTTATACAAACATGACCTTCACAGTAAATAGGGATCTATTCTGTTCAGAGAAATGCAGTACAGAAACATGGAGGAAAGTCCTCTTCTCCTATATGTGTAGGACTTGTTTGATACCAGTCTCCTGGACCAACAAAAGGTGTTACTGTCCAAAATTATTAGTGTTTATGGTTCAGTAAAAAAAATTAGACATCTGCTTAAATATTTAGTAGTTTTGTGTTCCATCTCCGGAAAAATTTAAAATTAAATGCTGTCATGCTCCAAAGAGCATATTCATCTGTGAAGGACTATACTGCAAATAGTCAGGACTTTGAAATTCTGTTCTCTAAGGCAAAATATTTGAAACTTGCTGATTATTATTAAGAAAGGGAAAACACRCTGAAGTTCAATCTCACCTGAACTGCTTCTGTACAATTTATGTTTTTATAATCAAGTCTAATGGCAGTTACATAGTTGACTGGTAATTTCAAAATCTTTATCATTTTCCAATTACACCTTAGARCTCCACTGTAAAAAACTTTGAAAACAACGTAACAAGGAAATTCTCTACCCCAGCAAACTCTCTATCTGAGACTTAATTAAAATAGGATGTATGAGACAGGAAGAAAGAGGAAAAGASAAATAGGATGGATGTTCATAAATTAGTCATAGCAACAGCTTTAGCACTCACAAGTGATGGCCAGCCCATTTGCTGTATGTTTTTTTTGCAGAACTAATCAAATTCAATAGATGCTGCTAGTTTGCTCACCAGTTGAAGGTGCAGAGCTAAAAATTGCAACAGGCATTAGGGGTCTCAAACCTTCTTCTTTGGAGTATGAGGAAAAAAGCAAGAAATCACACAGAGTCTTGAACTACACCACCACCTGCTGTTGCAATCATTATGACTCACATAATTTATTTATACCCAAATACAGTGTGCATCTGCTATTTATTGATATTTTGGGTTTATTTTTCTTATTACAGCTTCTGCTTATATTGAATAAAGCTTCCAAGCACTGCAGAGAGTATATAAATATGGATTATATATGGCTTATAAAGGCCTTTCCCTTCCACAGCATCAAAGAATGAAAAATGCATTTCCTCCCTTTCCAGCTAAGCAATATAAACATCAAAGGAAGGATTAGCATTTTAGGTCTTTGCACTCTAAATCTTTGTGTCATATGTCTTGCTGTCTTGCACAGAACATTTATATTTCTATACCTATTACAYAATCAGAGCAGTGGGCCAAACATCTTTACTTACCTCTAATTTGCATAATTAATTAAATTTCAACATTTTTGCCAAGCTACCTACACTCACTCTGAAATAACAACTGACACTTTTCATGCTGAAACAAATTCACTAATAAATTACCTAGGATTCAAACTGCCATCCTCCCTGCCAGGTGAAAGTTTATGGCACTCAGTAAGCCACTGCTCCTCGGCTGTAATAACCCAGYAGTCAGATGGAGGGGATTATGGCAGATTCCATAAACATAATCCCAAATGCTGTGACTGCAAAACCAGAAGGGCCTTGAGGATTGTGCTGCAGCCACCTACAGGGGCTTGGCTGCCAGAAGGAACACAAAACTTGGCTGTCGCATCAGTTGGAGAGGGCTTGAGGCTGAGGAGACTCAAAATGTGCTGATTTCAGGCCAGATTCTTTTAGGAGGGCTCTTAAGAAATGGCTCCTGTATGATGGAGCCTTCAACACTTTAAAGATAGCCATATAAATGATTGTCTGCCTTTCATTAATTTCTTTCAAATGAAGTAATCCATGCTGATACAGAGATTCATGTTACTCCAGGCCCTATCTAGTGACCTTTTTTTTTCCTTCTCATCTGTATTTGTGTTTTAAATCTCTTTTTYTGCAGCAGGAAACATTCTGCCAAGTCAGTAAAATGAAAGAAGTTCTGCATAGAAGTCTTCGCCTCCATTGCGAAAGTGCCTACCATGTCTAAAGTCAAATGAGAGGAAACCAGGATGTCAAATATGTGGATACTTAGCTATGCAATAAGCCATTTGTTCAAYAGGGAAAAAACAGGCCTCTGGAAGGAAAGCAGCACAGTTCTGCCTGCTTTCCTTTATTTGTTATTCCTAAGTTTTCATCCCGCTGTCTAGGGGAAGGGTGACTTTGTACTTGCTTTTATCACAGGGGAACATTAACAGCTATTTATCAGCTAGGATTTGTCTTCACAAGGTCATTGCAAGTTAGCTGTGACAGTGATGGCCATGCAGGGGTGGGTGGCTTTTCTCACCTGCAGAGCCCTTTTTTTGTAATAAGGACACAGACCAGTACAAACCAGTTTGCTGGGGAAACAAAGCCACTCCAGAGGCTGCTCCATAGCACAAAAGCAGCACAGACATGCCCTCAGCTGTCAGAGGCACTATGTTCTGCACTGATGGCTCTCCAAATGCAGGTCCTCACCCTGCTTATGCTTACAATTTTACCAAAATACATTCTTCCATCAGAATTTGCAAGGCAATGAGATTGTGTATGCACCTACATACCAACAGGTTTGAAAATACAATGTGAAAAAAGTTACTTTCAAATGTTATTTTACTTATTTTTGTGTTTAGTTCAACAGTTCTTGGGCTGCAAGACTTATTACTTGCTGTAATTCCATAGTGTTTAGCCATTTTTGTTTATTGGAGAACAAAATGAGTGTGAGCTCTCACTTGCACAGGAGTCACCATGCAGAAGTATCAGAGTGGATAATTAGGCTATGGAAATAACCAAATACATTGAAAGTCTGGAGAAACCTTTTAGGTATTTTCTGAGATTTATTTTTTTAGAAATCAACAGCAATGGGTTTAAGTTCTTTTAATATTCCAACTATTACTTTGGGCTTTCCATATCTATTAGTTTGTGGAACACAATGGCCTCTCCCACAGTGAATCAAATGCTCTTTCAAATATCATGTTGCTAGCTGAGCTTTAGCATTAGGCAGGCATGCACTTCTTTGGAATTTTGGTATACACTGAGGACTGGTTTGTTAAAATTTTTTTCTTCAACAAACTCTTTAATCTCTTAATTAAACAGGAAAAAAAAAGGCAAAGAAACAGCTCCAAAAAACAAACTTTGAAACTCTGTCAGTAAAAACTACATTGAAACAATCTAGAAGCTAGGAAATCTTCAAGGAATGAAAACCAGAAAAGCTTTCAGATCTTTCTCATGCTTAATGCAAAGCATACAGTTTGGTATTTTTCCTTCACAACTCCTAATGTTGAATGCAGTGTTATAAGGTCATACATATGGAAATGTGAATTTTCTGAGTTCCTCAGAACTTTTGGAAGCTGGTACTTCTCATCACAGTGCAGATATCATGGAACCAGGCACTGAATTTAGTTCTATGAAGGGCAAAGTAGATTTTTATCAGAGTTATATTAAGCATACACTTGTGGAAAGTCCAGGAATAGTTTACATCAGAGTATTTAGTTTGCCACTCAAAATTTATTACTGATAGTATTTACATCATTAGTAATGGATATATCTGGGCTCTGCACAGATTCAACTASAGCAGAATCCTTTCTGTAAAATAGAACTGAGATTTTATTGCATTGTCATTACTGTGCACTTTTTACACATAACAAGACTACTTTTCTGTCATTTAAATTTGCTTCCCCTTTGATCTAGTAATTTCCCCTCTAATTTCATGGCTTTTATGTTCTTTGCTAGYAACAAGAAAAAGGCCATCCTGTCTTGAAATGTGAAAGAGTTTCTTTTAATCTACAGTGCATTTCACTTAACTTTATTAATTTACCTTTCAATGTTGTAGAAACTGAGATTACACAACCTCATACCTGCTGTTACCACAAAAATYATCAACAGCTGCCTGTTGATTATTTCAAAGTACTCACACTCATAACCAGACATGTTCGTACTCACTGGTTTTGGACAGAAAATACTTCATTCTCAATTACTGGAATACATTCCTTGAAGAAATTGCACTCTTGATTCATCCAAATCTATGGGTGGAAAGATAATTTAAAATTAGTTAAGGAAATTATTTTCTGTCTGCCAAGTCTGAGCAGAYCGAGGGGTTTTTCTCTCTTTCAGGTTATTTGCCCCTTTCCCTGCAGATTCTTACAGTGTTGTTAACACCAACTTTCATCAATSTTATTAAACATGTTTCCAAGAGTTGCTGGAGACACATGAGGGCAAGACAGTACTGGATTATGGAGGGGAAAATGAAGATATAGCAGACTTCAAGGAGGCAAATACTGGAAAGAGATATAACAAAAAGAGCAGAAAAACTGACCAGSCCAGAGACAAGCAAATCCCATTTGACTATCTGAAACATCACACGCACTGCAATTAACAATTTACTAGTACAGTCTGCGTGTCTACTGTAATTTGCAGTATTTTCCTGCACCCCAGGTATCAGCTTGGTTTTATGACCTATCTGCCTTTCTCTTTTTGTCCTCAACATTCAGTCTTCAAAATGCGTGACACGAAGTATTTGGCTGAGCACCAATAAGCAGTGACACGCCTGTCCTGGTTTTATGTCCGTATGCTACAATTTACAGATTAATAGGAGTTAGTGCTAAAGGCCGGTTTAAAGCTCGTTCCTTCTCGCACGGAGCAAGCAGCCGTTTCAAAACAAAACCTGGAGAAGCCCGCTGGCCTGAGCCGCCTTCCCAGCGCTGCCACCGGACCCTGCGGGGGTTGCGGGACGCGGCGCTCGGCAGCCCGACGGGGGGACCGCTGCCGCTGCCGTCTCCGCCGCTAGAGGGGGTCTCGGGACCTGTTTTCCCGAGGAAAAAACGGGAACCGACAGCAGGTTCCAGAGAGCCCGGGCTGTATTTTGGCTCCGGGAGAAAAGGGAAGCGGCTGGGCGCGGGTTACAGAGCGGGCAGGCGGTTTGCACGCTCGTTTGGGACGCGGAGTAGCTGGGTGGGTAAGGCTTAGATTGCCAAAGAAACTTTAATGCGCTTCCTCGCTCCCAAAGTAACTTTGTGTTAAGACTCCCTGTTACGAAACATGGAAGGCTTTCATAAATCAGCGTCACGGCAAAGAGGCTGTAAGCTTCTTACAGATCCCGTGCCAGCAAGACTGTGTGCCATGCCACTCGTGTGCCCACCTTCCTGTAGTCTTCCCATTCTCGCTTTATAAAGTGAGATGGAAGCCTTGGCTAGGGATTAAAGACTGGAAAGTGGAGAAGGGCAGTCAACAGGAGGAAGCCTCCAAGTGATGCTTTCTCGGCTCTTTCTCTTTCCCACTCGCACATAGGACACAGGGCTGCGGCCCCGGCGGGTCGGCCCCAGACCCTCYGAGCCCCCGTTGGGTGCTGGCAGCCGCCTCCAGCGTGTCCCCAGAGCCCCCGGGCTGGGCAAGATGGGAGGGCGAACCCAAACTGTCGCCAGACTGGGACCCTGCACTCGCTATACACCTGGCGGGGCAAAACCCCRTGTTGGTGTCGGCCTGGTTTTTTGAGTTTTTTATAAGAAAAACGGATGCCGAGAGGGAGAGAAAAAAAATAAAAAAGAAAAAAAGGGAAGGTGGGAGCGTGCCAGGAAGGAGAGCCCCGCGGGAACGGAGGGCAACCTGCGGGGGCAGGAGGCGAACAAAGGGCGGCGGGGGCGAGGGGCGCAGTCGGTGAGGCGGGGGGCGGCGGGGCGCAGCCGAGCGCGGAGCCCACACTGCGGCACCGCCGAGGGGGCGCCGGCCGTGGCGCTCAACAGGCGCTGCCGCCCCGCCGGGACGGGGCCGGCACATGGCAGGAGCCGCGCTCGCTGCCAGCCCCGTGCCAGGCGGAGGCGGCGGCCGGGAAGGGGCTTGGCCGCCKCTCGGAGGGGCTGCCGCTCCGCCGGGGCTCGCCCGAGCGGGACCCACCCTGCCCGTGCAGCCGGGGCCGGCAGCCCGGCCGGCAGCGCCGCCGCTTCCTTTGTGTGCGTGAGGGGAGCTGCGGCGGGTCCCCCCGGCGGGCTGTCAGCGCTGCCCGCGAGGAGGCGGGGAAGGGAAGGGACGGGAAGGGAAGGGAGGAGGCGAGGGAAGGCGCTGGCAGGGCGGCTCTCGCGTCCCCGTCACAAGGTAAGCCCTGCTCCCCAGGGCGGAGAGAGTCGCTGSAGGCGCCGCGGGGCCCTTTGCCTGACCTGCCGAGCGGCTTCGCCCAGCCCCGGAGAGCGGCCGGCAGCTCCTCGGCGGGTCGCCGCCGCCTCCTGCTCCCCGGCGGCGCGGGGAGCCCAGCGCGGGCTGCGGCGGCGGCTCGGCGCGGCGCGGCTCCGGCACTTTGCGATGGGCTGGCGGCAGCGGCGGCCGGACAGCAGCGGGAGCCGACGCGGGGCTCGCAGCTAAGGGGCGAGGAGGAGGGACCATGGCCGCATCCAGTAACTCCAGTTTGTCCGGCTCGTCGGTTTCCTCCGGTAAGTTTCTCCAGCGAGCGCCGCATTTCTCCCCTCCCTCCATTTTAGCAGGGAGCTACCTGTCTGCAGAGCGCCTGGCCGTCCCGCTCGCCCCGACCGCGGCAGGCGCTCCCCGAGCCCCGGGCGGGCGCTCCCCCGGGGGGCGGCGATGACCCTGCCCGGGGTCGGCTGTGCCTCAGGCGGCACCGAAGGGCGAAGCCGGGACGGGGGAGGCGCGGCGGGGCCCGCTTCGCCTCCCCGCCGCCCTGCCGTGCCTTTGTGTGGGGTGAGGGAGAGGGGACCCCAGCGCCCGGCTCCCTCGGCGGGGGACCAGCATCCCTTTGGCTCGGAAAGGGGCGCGCCTGCGGACCCCGCTCCTCCACCGGGAGCTCCCGCCTCGGGCTTTGGGGTGAGGGGGGCATTCAAAGACCGACGCGCATCCTCTGCCGTGGTCCCCGCGGTGCGGGACCGGCCCCGTATCCCGCCCCGAAGCGTGGAGGTGCTCTGGGGCGGGCGGCGGCTGCCAGGCGTGCCCTTTGGTGGGCGTTGTGGCACACCTCGCATTTTGAGTACTTCTGCAAGACTGGGAACGATTGATTTCCCGATCCGGATAAAACGTGCTCCAGGTGAAGGACTGCCCCAGGGTTTCGGCCGCGGGGCCGTGCCGCAAGTGTGAGGAGCTCTGGGTTTTGGGGGTGCTGGCTGGGAGGCGGTGCGGTGCGGCGCTCTGCCCCGCTCACCCGGGGGGGTTGCTCCGCTGCAGACCCGCAGGAAGGTAGAAAAGTTACGGTGCGTTTTTAACCCAGGCAGCCTGAAATTGAGAGCAGTGATGTAACAGTAGCACTGCCTGCTGCTTAGCTCACGAGCAGTTACTGTAATATTTAAGTTATGAGAAATTGGCTGAGARTAACATCCTGGCATTTTAGTGGGCTGAAAGAGTAAATAGAAGCATGAACAACTTTGGGGTTCAAGGGACTTATGACTCAGTGTTTTCTTTGAGGTGCCAGAATGARATTTTGTAAGAGCATTTCTTAAACATAGCAATATGTGCTGTGAACAGCAGACGAGCTCCTTTGACTACCAATACAATCCTAGAAAAATACAAATGAATGTAAAGGGCAATGAGCAACTACAGTTTTTCAAAAGACAATGTATGTAACCTACACAAGATATTCTATGCCACTGGTCCAGCATTCCACACTTACAGCCAGATCCAAACAAGGAACTAGGTCCTAAAAATATTTTTTTAACACTTAACAAACACCCACAAATACTGTGAGCCCTTACTGCCTTAACTTGAAAGCATCTAAAAGAAGGAGGCACAAGAAATTCTGCCTTGCGTTCACATTCGCGATGCAAGAGTTGCAAGACGAGAATGAAAATAAGCAAGAATCCAGCCAACTTTATGGCTTGTTAGTGAAGGTAGTCATTTGGGCAATGTGGTTTTCTTTCATGCATCATTTGTATATTTTTACATCTAAGTTATGTGATAATACCAGAAACAACTTTAAAAGCCCAGACTGGAACCTGTGACTCTCTTCCTTGCTGCTTTAACCATTAAGCTGCAGAAGCAAGTCCCCAGCTTGGAGCAAGTGTGTARCTCCCTTGCTCAATGAATCTCAAGCTCTTTCTTGCCTACTGCTCCAATGTCTGTGAAGGATACTGAACTCGTACTCTGAGTCCTGTCTGGCTTTACTGAATCTGTGCTTCAGGATCAGTCTTGTGTATTGAGAGACTTGTCTCCCCTGCAGTGTTGGTTCAAATGCCTGAACTGCAGGGAATAGTGGGAGTTCAGGCACATCCGTGGTGTGAGCAGTTGATGTCATCCAACTCCAGGTGGCCTCCTGCTCACCAGGTAAATCTAGCACTAAAATTAGCATCCAGCCAAGGAGCTGAGCTCTGGGCTTTAGATGTATATCATTAAGAGATGTTTATCAGGGGGCTGACACTTGTATGAAGTGTCTTGCTTTGTATGAAGCCATTAGCTATGGCCTACAACAGTTCATGGTTTATCTTTTGTTTTGTATTTTTACAAGCAGGAGCACAGCTGAGCCTTGCCCCATGCCTAGGGCTYTTAGATGCCACATTAGTACAACTAATAAATGCTGTCAAGTACTCTATAAAATAACTGAGTATTCTTGACTTTCATAACTTATGACCTTGGAGTGKTTTTTGGTTTTGTTCCAGTTTATTCAATCTATATTTCTTCTGTGCATATACTAACCAGAAGTTAAATTCGCTGCAGCATGATAAAGTTTCCAATATTAGCAGACACATCATATCTGACTGTGTGCAGCTGTATTCTGGCTGTCTGTGGTTCAAGTTCTCAGAACTCAGCAAGTCTTTCAGCATTTTGTTTACACAGTCTAAACAAACAGTCTTGCCTTAAAATTTAATTTGGTAGTATTTATAWGTATGCTTAACTTGCCAATATGAAGATTTCCAAATAGTATAATKATTTCTATTCCACAGAAGAGGGAAGGTTGTGCTACCACAATATATTTTACTAATAGAAAAAGGAAGTGAAGTTTGAGGTTGATAGCAGAATACTATGCTGCAGAACTCAGCTCYGCCACTACTTGTGAATGCTGACAAAGCTTGAGAATGTGTTACTACAAGTGACCATTTGTGATGTAGCACTTCTGCTTCAATTCCTGCCAGTTCATGTCAATGAGAAAGTTAAACAGTTCAAATATATATATTGTAAGGAAGCTGCCCAAGAACTTTATGATGCAGATGTTCTGCTTGTCCACTTATATTTCTGTGAATGTGCAAGTGGGATTTACAGTCTTCACTTGAACTTGTGTCTGCATTAAAGATCGGAATTTGGTTCTGTTTTGGAGTAATTATTTATAAGCACTACCTGCCCAGTGTCATGGCAAGGTGGTGAGCTGTAGCTGTTTACAGGTGAGGAGCTAACAGCCATAGAGAGCCATGACTTCAACTATCTACTAATGATAAAGCAAATATTCATATTTGGGAGGCTGTTGCTCCTTTGATTTCACAGCTGGAGGACCAGTCCTTCCTTCAGAGCTCGTGTCTGTGGTCTCTGTACTCATCTCAACAGCCACTGTGTGGCTGCTAATTATGGGTTCAATAGTAATAGGTACTTGTCACAGGCCCCATACRACAGAGGCCTATGAAGGACTTTTTTCAGTGAGCTGGCACTCACTGGTAACAAAATCTACAGGAGAACCATGGGTATTTGTATTGTATTTCTTCTCATATAGCTGTCTGCTTTTGGTGACACAACTTAAGCTGCCCTGACTACCAATAGTCRTGCCTGAAGGTGGCTGGGGGACAAAGAGGGGTAATATGCTGGGGGAAGAAGGGGGTCATGGTAAGCAATTACATTAAGTATTCTTCTTTGGACCTTGGATAAATCTGCACGCCATATGAAAAGCTGAAATTATAATTACTTCCACTGGGAATTCCACTTTACTTTCCCTGTAATCTCTTCTTTAACACATACCCAGGTGATCTATTAGCTGTATTCCTTGCAAACCCCTAAATTTTGTTCTTCTCCCTAGATGAAGTGCTGATTTAACTGCAAGCAGCATCTTTTCTTTCTCTCCTATCCTCTAAAGAGAACTGTGCATGTTTCCATGCTTTCCTTCATGGAAAATGGTCTCCTTAAAATAGTCATTCCCTTGCTACTCCCCATCTTAATATTGACCCTTATTCTCGCTCATTATAATCTTTCTTTTTTAAAACTTTTTTTTTTTTTTTTTTTTTTTTTTTTTTTTTTTTTTTTGCTGTTTTTGAAACTTCTCAGCTTTTTCCTGGCAAACAATCCACCTCTCCCAATTTGTCACAAGCTGCCTCCAGTTTCCTCCACCCAGTAGCCAAATACTGATTATACAGAACTGATGAACTTGAGACTCGACTTTCTGGAATGTAAATAGAAGGTTGAGTGAAGAGACCTTTGTGGCTGTGCTTGCTTTGCTTCTCAAAGAAGCAACAAATGCAGCRTGTTTCCCACCTGGGCTCTGTGCAGTGGTATTTCTAGGTGTTGTACTTCTCCGTGCAGTTGTGCTATCCAAACTTRGTACAAAGTGATGATAAATCCCAGCTGCCTTTAGAGCTTCCATTCTGYTTGAAAAGTCTCCTGCCAGATACCCTCCCTGTAGCAGGTGGACAGGATGGAGGGCTTGGGCTGGCTGTCAGGTGAGGGTCYACAGTGAAGGTAAATGCAAATAGAAGCCTGATAAATTATAGTGTGTAACCAGGCTGCCTCCGACAGCAGGGCTCAGGCTGTGCCAAAACCTTTGCATGAGCCTGAGCCTGTGCTGTGAGAATGGTTACACTGCAAGAATTTGGATGAGGACCCAAGGCAAATATGTAAATGTATGTACCAGTTTTGTTTTTCCTTTGAGCTCCAAAGACAGGTTTGCAGGTGTTAGGCTGAAAGGATAGCTCAGCACCTTTCTGCTTCCCATAACTCAAAGCTCTTCGTGTGCTGTAAGCATTTTGACTAATCCTGTCAGTAGAGCAGGTGATGGAGTTAAACACATAGGCAAGCTTTCTGCTAGGGGCCTGGAGAAGGGCTTGTGTGATTTCTACGTTTCAGCTGGGTCCACTGCTCTAATCAAAGACAACTGCTTCTCCCCTCCAACCCCCTGTTTTTGTAAACTCGGATACTCTATAGAAGACTGTTATGAAGTCACTGATTGATGGTTTGTTTTTTTTTTTTAATTGAAAATCAAAATTTATTTCTGTCTTGAAGCACAGAGAAAARGGCCTCTAAGTATCATTTAATCAGTAATGCTCATGTAATTAGTAATTAAGCTTATGGTTGATAAAYGAATACTTACAATAAATTGAAAGGCAACAGATCGTTGGGGTTTTTAAATAAATGACCATGAGTTATTTAAAGGAAGCGTAGTTCTCAACTGTGTGTTTTTACATGCACTTTACGTTTTGAGAAGGATAAAAAAATGCTTATCAAGGGAAGAAGAAAAATCTTTGATGGTTCCAGTAACTTAACAAGGTCAAAATAAAATATTAAAGGCTCATGACTCTCTGGGGGTCATGGAGGTGCTATGATGTGAAATAGGCAGATATATTATAAAAATGAAAGTCAACATGGACTGATTTTAATTAAGATGYAAGCAAGTGGGAAAAAATGAAATTACTATTGTACAGAGATTCAGAGATTCTAATTGGGAAAAAGATTAGTAAATGAAAATAGATGTTTATTCTTAATGATTTAATAGAAATAGTGTTGTGAAACTGGCACATGAAAGCTATTTAAATCATGCTGTCATTATGCTGATAAGGTGCTACTTTTGATTTTTAAAAGGGCAATAAGGGTACTTTTTATTTCTGTTCCTTATGCCAAGCTTCTGCTGGCCAGGGTGTTCTTGCTCTAAATTAAAGCTGAAGTCTTTTGTATCTGATGATTATAAAGAACTCACCATTCTTATTGAAAATAATAAAAAATTCAAAAGGGAAAAATGCCAAAGTACTCCATTTGGATGTAGTGATGGACTCAGCAGTTAGTTACTGAACATGTAGGCTGTTATTATTGAGAATAAAATAGCCTGGAAACTGGTACAATGCATGTCTCTTCACATGTAGCTTATAGGCACTCATGCTCTGTGAAGCAAAAGTCTTRCTCTTCTTA